CCCTACGCTAAAGGATATTTTAGCCATTTCACAATTAGTTTTTTATTTTATTGTTATTATGTTGTTACTATGCTGAGCAAATGTCGATGTAGTAGTCGCTCCGTCATCTTTGAAAAATACTTGTGATTGATTCTAGTGGCCAGAAAAGTTGTCCTGGGTAGCATTCATTTCACCTCAAAGTTTTCTCTATGAAAATATGACATTTGTACTAAGAAGAAATCTGTACTAAAAAAAAATCTAGTTTGGTGTCGATGGCTATTTTTTTTTTTTGGTTTTGGTGTTTGCTCTGCCCCTTAATGTTTTAAACGAGCCCTTAAACTTTTTTTTCTTTTTTAAATAATTTATTAAATTATATTTTAATTTTAATTTCATCCTTATTTAATTTTTTGCTTTGTCAAATTTAATTTTTATATTTTTTAATTTTGATTTTTGTAATGTGAGATAATTTTTAAAATTACTTTTTTTATTCTACCTCTCCATCATTTTTTTTATAACCCCGTTTGTTTCACGAAAAGTAATTTTCTAAAAATTACATTTTAAATTTTTTTGTGTTTATTTATTATTAAGAAAGTTGGTTAAAAAAAATTTAACTTGGTCTTCAGAAAAATATTTTTTTTATTTTGGGTGGAAAATACTTTTCAGAAGTTGTGAAAAATTTAGAAATGTCATGTTATTTGTTGATTATATCAAATTTGGTTCTCAAACTTTTATTTTCTACATATTTTATTTTGAATTTTTTTTCAATTTGATTTTTATATCAACTTTAATTTTTATTTTTATAATTGTTATTTGTTTTTCTCTTATTATTTTTTTAATTAAAATTTTTTATCTATCAGATTTGGTCTTTGTTTTTTTTTATAGTTATATATTTTATTTGAAATAATTTATAAAATTACAATTCTTTTTTAATTTCATCATTTTTCAACTTTTTTATCTATTGGATCTAATCTCTTTTTACTTTGATTGCTATTTATTTTATTTGAAATAATTTATCAAATAATTTTTTTAATTTTATTATCATTCAACTTTTTAATTTGTAAGATTTATTTCTCATTATTTCAATAAACTTGAAAAAAAATGTTAAAAATTTATTTTTTAGCTTATATTCCATGATACTGCTAATCATTGGAAAATATTTTCTAATTTATTTTTTATAATACTTTCAAATATCAGAAAATAATTTACTTTTTAAGAATTTATTTTCCAAAAAAATCACTTTTTAAATGAATATTACTTTTCAGCAAACAAACGGGGTTTAAATTTCATCATCATTCTTTTGATTATATATTTTGTTTCTGTGTAAAATTTTCTAATTTAGTATTTTTTTTATGATTTTATTTTTCAATATTTGATTGATTTAGATTTAATCTTTTTAGTTATACTCATGTCTAGGATTTCACGATTGTGCTTTGGAAATTAACATAGTTTCATGAGGTTAGCCTAAAATTTCTTTTTTTATTATTTTTTAAAAATATTTATTTTTATTTTTATCTTTTAATATTTATTTAATAGCATATTGAACTTTTTTTTCCTGCTTTTTATGACCTTTGTTTTATTTATTTTTTTATTATTGAATTGGGTTATCTTAGATTTTTTTTATTTTTGTTTTTTATTATTTTTTAAAATTGGTTTTATTCTTTAATTAAATATAATTTATTAATTGAATATAATTGCATGCTCACGGCATTTTGTTTTATTTGGTTTGTTTTTTCAAGATGTTGTTCTAGTAGCCCACATAGCTTCTTTTAAAGTTGATATTGTCCATACTATTTCAATCAAGTTTGAATCATTTCGACAAATTTTTTATGTAATGAACAATGTTTATAATGAAGTGACGATGGATCTCCAATAATTTTTTTTTAATTAAATATTTTTTTATTTAAATATATTTTTTATATGCTTAAATATTTTTAACCGGCTCGTGAGATAGCACGGGCCACCCCTCTAGTAGTCCCCGACAATAGATACAAATTAAAACTTGGTATCTTGGCTATTGAAAGTTAAAGACATATATATAGGTGTACAGGAAACGTTAAAGGGGTTGTCAAGCTTTGGAACAGCTGGGAGTACACTAAGATGCTATAACAAATATCCAGCTTCCAAGGATTGATTCACCTTGCGGGCTGTCTTTTCTTCTCTATTCCCAGTGTCATGTTGCTTGCTAGAGTCAGTCATCATGTGTTTCCTCTAGCAGGTGGCTGTGACGCAGGATGCGTATCACAATTCTTAGTTGAAGAAGACGTCTGTTAAAAACAGACATGATTTATAATCTGATTGCTGAACTGTTTTACACGTTTAATTAAAGTCAACTGATAACTTATCTAAATTAGGCACAGAAAATATTTTGGAATTTTCTTTATTCTCATAGTTATTCTCTTATTTTTATTTTTTTTAATTGTTTTTTGATACTAGATTAATTTTGGATTGATTTTGTACAACCAAGAACGAGTTGTTTAAATACTGAATTGATCTATTGGATCTAACCAAGTTTAATAACCGTGTTCACAAGTTACACCTTCTCTCCTTCGAACCTAACTAAATTTTCAACACCTTCTTTTATTTCCATTTGAGCATCACAATATTCTTAATATCTTAATGGACAATGGATCCATAATGGTCAAGATGTGGCCGAATTGAGTATCGACTTCTCATTAAATCAAAGTATTTGTAACCTTCTGTGACCGAGCGACAATGGCTACACGCTGTTAAAACTCCAAGAAAGGTCATAGAATCAGGCAAAGCATGTTCTACCGCCAACTTCGTGAAGACTTTGATTGTATCTCTAGCAAGCTCATGAACTGCTAAACCATTGATCATCGATCCAATTCCAAATACAAACATTGCTGCGGTGGACACTATCAAAAATCTCCTTCGTAGTCTGAATTTTACTGCACTTCGAATCAATGTCTATCAATGCTGAACTCAAAATAAAACTTAATTCTTTTCTCGATCAACAACTCATATGCACCCACTCAGCATGATTAAGGTCTCCGAGTCTTGCACACCATTTATAACATGCAAGTGTAAATTTATCTGGTTCAACATTCGATCTAATCATAGCTCAAAAAAGTCTCAATGCCTCCTCATATCATCCTTTTCTAACATAACCTCTGATCATTGTGTTTCGTATAACTGTTGAAATAAAACTCAATCTAGAAGGTTAAGAAAGACAACCACCATTTGTCATTGTCTAACTGTCCAGCCGCTAGCCGCTGTCATACCGTCAGCCACAACCGCCTTCACACTTGAAGGTTGAATTTTCTTGTTTTGATTTCGTGTATAAATAGATAGCTAAACTTATGCAATTATGTGTAGAGAGATTGCGAGAAACACTAAAGAGAACGAGAGAAAGAGAGAGGGTGTGTTATTGTAAGCTTTTTATTATTGTAAGCTTGTTGTTCTTAAAATAAAAGAGTGTGTTTTATCCCCTCCAAGTGTTTCAAAGCCACCACAAGTGTTTTCTCCAACCAACAATTGGTATCAGAGCCCCGTTCGTCAAAAAATAGAGGTATTTTTGGGATATATCTAAATTTTCAAAATTTTCAAAAACAAGTTTTGATCGTTCCAAAATGTAGAGCTCATCCATACGAATTCAACAGTGTAAAAATCAGATCAATCGGAGCACGGGGTGGACCACACTCTCCGTCTGAAGTTTCAGTACTGTAGCTCACGCGCCTCGAGGAAGAAGACAACTGAGCCCCATGCGCGCCATATTTAAGCCGAGCCACGAGCCATATTCCGAAGCCGAGCCGAGCTCCAAGCCATATTTCAAAGTTGAGTATGTTGCTGCCAACTCAGCTGTATGCCATTTAATATGGTTAAGGAATTTGTTGAAGTTTTTGGAATTTCCTCAAGAAAATCCTACAGAGATTTATATTGATAATCGATCAGCGATTGCATTGGCAAAGAATCCGGTGTATCATAAAATAAGTAAACATATTGATATATGTCATCACTTTATCCGAGAAAATGTAAAGAACAAAGAAGTCGAGCTGATATCCTGCAAGACAAATGATCAAGTTGCAGATATATTTACCAAGCCATTGAAAAGAGAAGTATTTATCATATTGAAATTCATGCTTGGAATGACATCCCTCAATTGAATTTAAAGGGGAGATTTATTGAAATAAAACTCAATCTAGAAGGTTAAGAAAGGCAACCACCAACTATCACCCTCCAACCGTCCAGCCACCGGTCGTCGGCCGCTTTCACACAGTCGACCACAACCGCCTTCATACTTGAAGGTTGAATTTTCTTATTTTGATTTCGTGTATAAATAGATAGCTAAACTTATGTAATTATGTGTGGAGAGATTAAGAGAAACACTAGAGAGAAAGAGAGAGGGCGTGTTATTATAAACTTTTTATTATTGTAAGCTTGTTGTTCTTGAAATAAAAGAGTGTGTTTTATCCCTTTCGAGTGTTTAAAAATCACCACAAGTAGTTTCTCCCATCAATAATAACCACATCTAGTGCACGAATTTTATAAAAAACCGTTCTGACAATCCTATGATATCCCATTTTCATAAACTTATCAATAATAATATCCAACTCCACTAAATCAATACTCCAACAGAAAACGTGACCAATGGCTTGGATGAAACAGATTATGGCAATTACAGTGATCATATTTCGATACCAAAGAAGCCATAAGAGATGGACTAGTTCCTTAACCAAATGTAATACTAATTCTTGAGTGCCTTTTCGTCACTGTTTTGATATCCATTGAGGTTTTGTATGGTTGAAGAACGCTAAATAATACTTGATAATCTGCAAAAATACCATTAACTATCACCAAAATGGTCTAAACTTAGAATCATTCACTAAGGACAATAATTACACTTCATAATCTACAAATTTTTTTAAGGGAATAATTATCAGTAAACGGTCTTAAGTTATAAATGTTATCGCTAGAAGGGTCTACTGAAGTTTCAATCTTTCATTAATGAAAAAATGTTACCTGTTCTGAGACAATATATAGCAAAGCGAGCAAGCAATACCTCTATTGTGATGGAGAGAAAGAGAAGAGATTAGAAATGAACTGTAGGAAAGGCTCCACCTCATAATTCCCCAACGGGGCTGTGTAGTTAGTCTCTTTATCACATTCACCTCCATGGTTCTTTTACCCACTGTGGGCGTGTTTCAGTGTTTCTGCTTTGAAATGAAAGAGAAAGTGCAAGAGAGAAGAGTCCAAAAATGGGCTAATTCAATACCATTTATGGGCTTCATAAAAATGGGCCTTGCGGGGCCTTTGCTTTCTTTTTTTTTCAACTTACCAATTCAAAACCGGCGTCGTCTCAATGAAAGCAATCCCCTCCAACGGTCAAAATATTTCATTTCCATCAAGCAAGCCAAACTCTTGCTTATATAAACGAAGAAAGGAAACCCCTTTCTTCATTTTTCTCTCATGCCTCTCTTTCTGGGTTTTCAAAATCCTCTCTCTCTTTTAAAGAAAAACCCTGAGAAAGATCGTTCTTTAAGTTTCACTTGTAAGGTATGATTGAAGATTAACGCTCTTAAGATTTTATCTTTTATTTAGTTATTATTTCTTTGTTTAATTTTCAGGTTTGAATATTTCTTTGTTTGATTTCCAGTTTGAATTAGAATTTAAATAGTTCGTTCTTTGTTAACGTTCTTCTCTTTTATCTTCTGTTGTTTTTTTTTTGTTATTTAGTCTGATCATGTGGTTTTTTGCATGATTGTCTTTAGAAAGAAATTTCAGTTCAAGTCATGAACATTATTTCTCCGTTTGGATTGTATTTATCTTATGTATTGCTTTATGAATTTTAAAATTGGTTATTAATCGCTAAAATTCTAGGTTTAGTCTTTTTCTCTGTTTTTCATTTTTTTTTTTTAAGAATTTGGCAAATGGGCATGTATGCCTTCTTTTTTCCTTCTTTGTATGGTTATAGGCCTACTTTTGCAGAAACATGACACCTCGGTTCAGCCAAGCACTCAGTTTTTTCCTAATTTCCTGTGTATTTTCTTTAAGGCATATCGTATATTTTTGGTTTACTCATCAAATTTTACGTTCAAGTAACAACCCACGTAGTGATTTTTTATTTAGAATTTTGCAAGTTATGTTCTTCGGGTCTATTCAGTCTCTGTTTCATATGCATAGATTCATTTAACCGAGTACAAGAGGTTTTATCGCTTTGTTAATAATCTTTATTTTCTTCTTTCTTCATTGTATTCTTGCTGCGTCTGTTTTCGGCTTCAAAGAAGACAGTAGACAATCTGCTGCCAGAAATGTTCTTTCTTGCTTTATAATTTTAACTTTAATGGTCATAAAGTAGTGTTAGTACCTGGGTTTGTTTTGACTATATTAATGCTCTTAAATTGTTATTTCATTTTGTGTGTGCGTTGTCTATTTAAGAGAATATTCATGTAGGATTGTCTATTTATCTCTTTTCTCTAGTCTCCATTACTACTAAGTAAAGCCTCACTTTAGTTTTCATTTGTGCAAAATCTAAGCTAAGAACAAAGAAATTTTTTTTGCAGAACATGTTCACAGATATACAATTTGTAACATGATCTATAGGTTGATGAAGAGGGAAGACTTTATTAATACATGCCTTCAGGTACTTTTTCATTCTCTGTATATCTTCTTTTAGGCATGTGAGAGTACCTGATTTACTTGTCTCACAACGCTTGTCCATGTGGGGTTGTTAACAGTAATGTGCTTGCTGGTATTTTAAATTACTTCAATTTGATATGATGGATAAAATGGCTACTGGCTTGTTATGGTATTGTGTCAATACTACCCTGAAAAGATATCTATCTATCTATAATTCTAACTTTTACATGGTCAAATATATCTTTTATGTGGATAATTTCTGATTCTGTGGTTTTTTGAACCTCAAAAGTAAATCACTTAAAATTTCAACCATTGTCAGATGTTCTTGATGGTAAAATTGTCAGAAATCAGTTGGGAAATTATGTGAGTGTGGTTAGAATGAACATATTGAAGCGAAAAGGTCCCTCACCTTGATTTTCTCATTTGCAATTTAAACGAGACTAATAATGTGATTCAAATTTAATGCTCCTAGTACTCCGACTTTCTTCGACTGGAAACTTGCATGAAAATTAAGAACACATTGAAGAGTATATTAGAGAAAACTAAATCATAGATGAGGAGATGTTACTGAATAAGAAATTTCTTTGTAGAATGCAATACAGTTAGGATAATTTTTTGTTTATCTTCGAGGCAACCTTTAAAATCCTGTTTCAGCTAAATACTGAATACTAGAAATCCTTTTTGATTGGGATGTCGATCAGGAACATATTTTGAATGCTAAAATATGTATCATTTCTTTTTCCTTCTTTATTTCAGTTGATCATCATTGTTATATGTTCTTTCCATTATCTTTACCTTGAAAAGTTTGGAGCAGGTGGTTCCCATATTTCGTATGCTGAATTGTAGTTCAATTTCGTTGTAGTTGTTCTTTTTAATTTTTAATACCTGCTGCTGAGACACTTGCATGGGAAAAGAACTTGAAATGCCATTAATGATTTATGGAGGTTAGAAGGATGAACCTCAAAATCCTATTATAAGGAACAGAAATCTTTTGTGTTTTGCTTGAACTTTGACATTGAACCAAAATACAGAACTTGTATTTGTGTGCATGTACAACTCTTGCCTCGTACACATTTCCCTTCACATTTTTTTTTTTAAAAACAAATGACTTGATAATATACCCCTCTACGGCAACTAGTCTTTTATTACTTTGTTTGTAAGGCTTTCACTCTTATAGGCAATTTTTCTGGATGCGTTGGGAAAAAGTGGAGAAAGATTGATGTTTTGAATAGCTTAATACAGATAAAACGAAGTAGGCATCTGAGGTAATAATTTTTTTT